TCCAACCTAGTTCATTTAGCTCAGCACCCTCTAGGTCCATCCGCATGGTCACACATGGTAAGACTTCATTCTTTTTCATGGGTGAGTAATATTCTCTTGAATATAGGTACCACATCTTCTTTATTCATTCAAGGGAGTTAGAGGGCTAGGTGGAAAAGGTAAAGGGATTAAAAAGTACAAATTGGCAGTTACGAAACAGTCAGGGGATGTAAAATGCAGTTTAGGGAATATAATCTAATACCGTGATAACAATGTCAGAGGGATACCAGGCTGATCGCGGGGGTTACTTTATAAGTTACATAAATGTCTGACCCCTACGTTATACACCTGAAACTCATACACTGTTGAATATCAATTATAATTGATATTCAACAGTGTTAACTGCAGAATTATGATTGCCTTCTCTAGGGCTAACATGGAGTTCCAGAGTTTTCCAGCTCTTTTGGGATAATGTTTTACTGGAGAGTTAAAAGGGTGGTTCCCAGGAGGGAGGAGGAAGTGGTAGGGGAAGAAATCTTTACCAACGTAAGTGAAATCTGTACTCACTAGTAAAACATCACTCAGCAGCCCCTGTTCTGCACGAGAGACATGCTCTCTGGAACTCGAAACCACAAGCTCAACTCGGGCGCCAGACATCCCCCTTCTGTTTCCTTTCCACTTGGAATGGACGAGTCTAAGCACCACCCCCAAACAGCAATCATCATGAAAACGTAGAACCTCTACTACAGATATTTTATATTGCCAATTAAGTCTAGATTGATATGCTTACAAAACCAGCTTGCCAGAAGACAGTGTTAACGTTCTGTTGTGAAATTCAGGAGCCGAATCCAGACTCCCCGGCCCTGTGCCACCCACTTCCAGCCGGGTGGGGTCGTCCTGGGACGGAAGCCCTGGCTCCAGCATGCTCCGCGGGGCAGGCTCTATGCAGAGGTTTTCAAACTGGGCTATACTTAGAATCACTTCTAAAAGTCAAAAAACCAGAGGCCACATTGCAGACCAATCCAATCAGAATGCCTGGGGGGCGGGAGTCAGGTGTCACTATTTGTAGGACTTCTCAGGCGACTGCAAAGTGCAGCCTAGATTAAGCAGGGCCCCCTGAATTCCAGACATACCGCTCCAGCTCCCAGCTGACCAGCTCAGTGGCTCCCCCTGGCGCCCATGTGGGGAAACACCATGCCTGAAAACCTGCCCCTGCGCGGGCACGCCCAGACCTGTCACATCTGAATCTGGGGCTGGGGTGGGCTCTGCTCTTCCTCTATAAAGTGGTGGTGGTGGGGGGGTTGGACTGGCTGATCTCAGCCTTTCTGGTTTCAAATTCTGTGATACCATAAGAGTGATAAAAACAAGGTGACAACCGTAAGGGAGAAAGAAGGGTGTGAATGGAACGGAAACCCACCTGCATCCCGCCCCTATTTGATCACTTCAAACACTTGGTGCCTGCAAGGGATACGTGGTGTTTTATGGACTGTGAAAAAGCTCGGTCACAACACATTTTCTGACCTTGCTGCCAGATTGTGAACTCAGCGATCTGTCGAGACTGGCAGGGGCAGCTGGAACTTTCATTTCACCCAGGCAGCAACCTGTGTCCTCCATGGACACCCCCGTTTCTTCAGTAACAACAAGAGCACCTGCAGAGACCAACTTTAAACAACTGAAAGGGAAAATACCCCCTCTTCGCTCTCTGTGGTCCCCGCAGCTGGGCGCGCCCTTGTTGGTTTGCCAAAGTAGCCACAGGGAGGCAGTATAACCCAAGTTCTTAATGCCTCTGACGGCCTTGCCACCCACTGGAGTTTGAAAAAGATGTCTACACCTACACTCAAAGAAAACTAGTTTCACCTTCAGAAAAAGAAACAAAAATAAATTCCCGAAACGTGACAATGACAACGACACAGAACTTATAATCAAAGTAGTAACAGTATGGAGCCAACATAAGTCAGACTCGTAAAAAATGCTTGAAGGAAATGAAGGAGAATTTGGCACGGTGATGACATAGATAATCTAATGTGTTAAAGTTTGATGATGTTTTGGAAAAGTACAAGCAAGGCTTCTGCAGTGGATTCTATTAGAAAGCAAAGGTGCTGTGGAAATGTGGGCCTGTTTTGCTTTCCGTCCCTCCTGTCCCGCATGGGAGGGGGCTGTCCACACTGACTGCACGCGGGACGTCCCTCCTGTCCCGCATGGGAGGGGGCTGTCCACACTGTCTGCACGCGGGACGTCCCTCCTGTCCCGCATGGGAGGGGGCTGTCCACACTGACTGCACGCAGGACGTCCCTCCTGTCCCGCATGGGAGGGGGCTGTCCACACTGACTGCACGCGGGGACGTTAAACCAGCCGGGAGGGAAGTCAGAACACACACGCTCTGGCCTCCACGTCCAGCCTCTGGGGTAGCTGCTGGCAAGTCGACCTTCATCAGCAAGGTCGCCCTTGAAAGTTGATGTTCATGTTTGGGAGTCTGTCCTTCCCACTGACAGAACACAAATGACTTGTAAATGTTATTGTAACCGTGGAAATGCCAATACCTCCTCACTTAGACCTGTTTAAACTCAAGAGCCCTTGGAATACAAGTGTAAACAGAATTCTCATTTGTGCATCTGCGCCTTATTCCTCCCTGCTAAGGACGATCACCCTTACTTTGACTTTAGCCATGGCAGGGGCCCCGGGGTTGGACATCAGGGTGCCTCCACCCAGGGGACGGCGAATGGAAACAGAACTCCAGAGCAGAGTGGGCAGTGGGGGGACCAGGCCGACGAGGAGTGAAGAAACGGGCAGGGGGAGCTGGGCCTGTGAGGCTGCAGACACCTCGGGGGGGCTATCTCTTCATGTTCATTCTGCGTCACTTATTAAGATGGAAAGAAGACAAGAAGCGCACGTATATCGGCCCTAAACATGGACACCTTCCAACCTGCCCATGCAGCTGCCTTCGTCGACGGGCAGATCTCCCTTCTCCCAGCCCCTTCCCTCTCCTCTACCCCCGGCCATGAGGGGCTGTGCCTCTTCTTGGCCTCGGATGGAAGGCCGTCCTTCAGTGCTGTGTGGGGGAGTCGCCTTGCGAGCCAGTCCCAGCTGTCCTTGTCTTCTGCTCATTGCAGGGACCTCCAAGTGGGCCCGTCGCTGGCTCTGCTGCCACCTGCTGGAAGGTGAGAGCCCAGTGGGCTGACAGCCAGGGGTTCCCAGCTGTGAAAGTGCACAGATGTCACCTCTGCCTGGAGCACCTGTCCTCTCTGAGGATAGGGGACACGCACAGAATTCCACACCGGCACCCTTGTCATCACCACGATGACAGCCGGGTTTGGGGAGAGATTTTAAGTGGAAGAAAAGCAACCTTGACAGCAGCCAGCTCATCCTCCTGTGTCACGTTCTCAGCTGGGGACGGCAGGTGGATGAGGCCGTGGGGTGACACGTCATGCTCATTTTCAAACATACACAGGCTCACACACATGGGCTTCCTTTTTTAAAAAAGTGTCAATTTTTTTACATGAATTTCATAGAATTAAATTCGAAATTTAAACGTTTTTAGGGTCAGTTGCTCAGAAACGTCATCCTGGGGGCAGCACGTTTAAATACAAATTATTTTGGCAATCTGACCCAGGTACAGAGTCAACTTTAAAAAATATATTTAAGAAAGTACAATTCTCAATACGTGTGTGAACATTTCCCAAACGGCTGCTCACCGGAGGCTCTCACAGTGGTGGGTGCTGAACTCTGACTGTACCCTTCACTGGAAGAACAAGAATCCCGCCGGTTATTTCAGAGGGTGGTTTTATTAGACGCAGATTTTCTTCCAAGCAATGCGCAACTCTCTATATACATCAGAATATCACATATATACGTGTATGTAGACAAAGGTATCAGAATGTCCGGACCAACCCGGCGCTGGGGTCGCAGGCTGCATACACCCTGTCAAGGGCCTTCAGAGAACAAGACAGGGCATGTCCCTTCCCGCTGACAGCCACAACCGGAGGCTCAGGTTTCAGCGTTTGAGAAACCTCAGTAACACCTCCTATTTTTCTGACACCTTCATCTCCTGGGTGATTCTCACTCCTTTGTTCCCTCACCTGATGTTTACCACTGTGGTCTTAGCTCCCCCCGAATTCAGCACACACGCAGGCCTGTAAAAGTAGCAACTGCAGAAAGAAAATCAAACATCGCCCTCCCTTAGTGCTTGGGTACGATTTGTCTGCAGAAGGCCTCTCTGCAAAGAGCATCTAGAGGCCTCACACCCAGCCCGAAACACAGAGCTTGGTAAATTGCACTTTTTGTGGCTCATAAAGCAGGGTGCAGCCTGTTTCCAAATGAGTATGTGTCTTCTCCTCTGTGCCTACGGATACAGTTAAATACGGAAGAGGGTACTTAAACCGCGGTGGTGTGTGCGGCCGGCAGACACTTAGATATCTGCGCTTCCCTCACCTCTCGGCTGTTATGAAGCTCTGGATTTGCACGAACTGTAGATCTCCTCTCTGACCTGGGAGTGTCCCTGGACCTCAGGCACATGCATTACAAAGCTGTTTTTTCAAAGCTTCTGGGAGAAGCCTCATGGAGTTGGGGAGGGAAGGATGCTCGGAGAGCCGGGCGTGCCTGAGAGACAGCCAGAGTCTGTGCACCAAATCTCCCCTCCCTCCCTGCTGAAGTCTCTTTTAGGGCACCTCCAATCTGCATGTCAGAAACCTAGGGTCTCTCTGGCTCCTTTGTGCCCCTCCCCTCCCACCCGATCTGCCCAGTTCTGCTGACTCTGATCCTAAATGTTGTGGACATACACCCCGCCACCCCACTCCTCCTTCCCGTGCCTTGACCTAAGTGGAGGCCTCCTACCCCGACCTGCTTGTTGCTGGTCTCCCTGCCCTAAATGCTCACCTTTCCAGGTGGTCCTTAGGCCATGGAATGAGCCTCTGCAACACCAGCTGAGGCCTGGCTCTGCTCTCAGACGTGGATGAGGCGTGCTGTCCAGGTTCCCCCGGTGCAGCCTCCGCCTTCCTCCCCCAGCCAGCCGCACACCCGTGCCGGCCGCGCAGCGCCTGCAGCCTGGGGCTCAGCTCCCTCTCTTCCGCCAACAGCTGGTGCCCCTCCAATCCCTCCTCACTGAAGAAGCTTGCCCAGCTCACCTGGCCACGGGGCTCGCACCTGGTCCTGAGTGTCTGTGCAACTTATTACCTACATCGGAGGGGAGATCACGCGAGGAAGATGGCCCTTCACAACTGACCCCGTCCACGTCTCCTCTCCCCACGGCAAGACAAGGACCCCTTTTAAATGCATTTACAACCTGTCTGTTGCCTTGTGCAGGCAAGAAACTATACAGTACGTTCCTTGATTCATTTTGCTGTTCCTGGGCAGGTTACCAAACTCAAAAATCAGCAGTTCTCTGGGGATTTTTAAAATAATGAACTTTTTCAGTGAAGGGAGAGTTCATCCAGTTGATGCAGGTGGAGGGCAGAGGACAAGGTGGCTCTTCCAGCCACATATTTTCCATTTGGCATTCTAGAATGGATGGGCAGAAGCCACGCAGGAGGATGGGTCTCCGACACTCTACGACAGTAACTTCCTTTTTAACATAACAGCTGCCACCCTCAGTCTGTGTGTAAAAACCCATCCGGGTCACAGGCCCGTAGAGATTTCCTGCTCCCCAGTGGACCGGGTGTAGATGGAGGCTCCGCGCTCGGGAGCCTCCCGCTGGGACATCAGACAGCGTTTGCAGAGGCGCCTGGCGATGTGCTTTCGGAAGAAGCCCACCAGGTAGCTTCGGAACTTCTCCCCGACGAAGGCGTAGATGATGGGGTTGATACAGCAGTGCGTCATCCCCAGGGTCTCCGTCACCTGCATGGCTTGGTCCAGCCGATTAGAGCTACTGCAATTATTCAGGCCAAAGAAACCCTGGAAGGTGTTCAGGAGAAGGACGATGTTGTAGGGAGCCCAGAAGAGAAAGTACACGATCATGATCACGAAGATGAGCCTCACGGCCTTGTGCCTCTTCTTCTCGTTGCGGACCCGGAGCAGGGTCCTCAGGATTCCCGAGTAGCAGACCACCATGACGAGCAGCGGCAGGACCAGGCCCAAGGCGACCATCTTTAACGTCTGGAAATTCTTCCAGAAATAATACTGACTGGTTGGGTAATGCGGACTGCATGTATAACGGGGACCCTCTTTCTGGGATTTGGAGAAGATGATCCCTGGGATAGAGGTGAACACAGCCACCACCCAGGTGACCCCACTTGTCACCATTCCAGACGTGACCGTCCTGGCTTTGATAGCAAACACAGCGTGGACGATCGCCAGGTACCTATCGATTGTCAAGAGGATGATGAAGAAGATTCCAGAGAATAAGCCAATAAAATAGAGCCCTGTCAAAAGCCGACACATTGTGTTCCCAAAGACCCACTGGTCTGCTGCGTAGTGAGCCCAGAAGGGGATGGTGAGGAGGAAGAGCAGGTCGGAGACGGCCAAGTTGAGCAGGTAGATGTCCGTCATGCTCTTCAGCTTCTTGCAGTTTATCAGGATGAGGACGACCAGAAGGTTGCCCACAAAACCAAAGATGAACACCAGCGAGTAGAGCGGGGGCAGGAGCTGGGCTGCGATCTGTTTCACATCGGTTTTTTGGCAGGGTTCTGAGATGCTGTATTCAATGTAATCGAAGGTAGTTGTCACTTGATAGTCCATCTTGCTCAACCCTGGGAATAAAGAAACAGTGATTTTTAAATAAAGTCCTGGAATGTACCTAGTGGTCCTCCAAGAATGCAAACCATCTTATACGTGAAGAGGTCCTTCAAATTGATACATAGATTTCTGCGTTTAACTGAGCTCCCTCTTTTGGCCACACAATGAACTTCTGTAACAAGCGGAAGGCTGGCTGCTAGCTTCCCTGCTGGCTTGCTCTGTCGGGAAAGCATCATCTCACCAAATGCAGTCTGGCGTTCCAGAGCCACGTGGAGTGAATGAAGCTTTGGCAATGATCTCAAGAAACTGAGTCAGGCACCCTCAGCCCAACACTGTCTTACAATCTGCGCTGAAGCTGCCGTTGCAGGCAGCGGGCTTACGTGAGCATCACCACGGGTGAACTGGGATAATTAGCAGTTCCCAAGGGCACGATGCGTGCCCACCACTGTTCTTAGCTTCACATCCGCTGATTCAACTAATCCTCACGGTGACCCAACGAGGCAGGTCACGTTATTGTTCCCGTTGGGCAGATGAGGACCTCAAAGCCCAGAGGATGAATAACTTACTCCAAGACACACAGCTAGGAAGCAACTGATTCTGAACACAGGCAGCCTGCACTCATCCACCAGGTCACCCTGTCTCTCTCCTTGGTGAGCACCTGAAGAGCAGGGCCAGCAGCCCGGAGCCTCTCTCTGTGAGGATGAAATGGGCTGGCTGATGCTGGGCCCCCAGAGAAGGTCAGAGGAGCCAAGGGCCAATTATAATATCCTTTTCCTCTGCAGCTTGTATTCCTGGTTCCTGAGTTGCTGTGATTAAGAGACTTCCACATTCACAAGAAATGGCCAAGTGGGAAATGGTCCATCTACCACCGTACTGCCTGGGTTAGCTCAGTTCCCTCATGCCCACCGGCTTGCCCCATCTACGGGGGTTCCTCTTCTGGACTGAGAGTTCTCTCTAATTCATCCTGGGCAGCTGGGAGAAGCACCCAGAAAATTTCCCCTTTAAATCCTGAGCCAGAAAAAGAATCATATACTAAAATGTGCTGTGGAACTCATATATTAAAGGCAGATTTTATTTAATATTTGTAGTGATATTAATATAGACAATTTTTAGGCTTCCTCTTTTCTGGGGGGGGGACCCCAAAGAACCAGACTTAGACACAACTTCTGGTTGGACCGTATTCAGAGGGCGTCCGGCTGGGAGGTTTTAGTTTTCCACATCAGAAGATAATCTCTGCAGGATTTTGGCCAAGAATCACCTCTCTGAAAAAAATCTTTCTTTTGAAAGGTGAGGGTTTTTAAAGAAATAATATTGTTCCCTTTAAAATCTTTCATTCATCATCTGCTTTGTATTTTTTTTTATGTTATCACAGTCTGAAACTCATTCTAAATTCTAACCCGTTCCTTATCTTAAAGATTATTTTTTAAGATAGTCTCTGAGCATCTGGTGTTTCTTTAATGTCTTCTATGGGTTTCCTGCCAAGGCTCATAGTCATCACAGAAGCTGAGCTAACTGATAGGCAAAGTGGCTGAGAGGTGACTTACCGGGAAGTGTCTTGTGGGAAGGAGAGATGTCTCAGCGGCTCTGCCCAGCTGAGCCGAGAAATCAAACATAAAACAGCACAAGTAGGAAATGCACCGCAGCCAGAGGGGCGGGTTTTCATGCATACGTATGCTGCAGGGCAAAAATGTCAGTGAATAGTTCTCCTTTTTTTTTTTTTTTTTTCCTTTTCCTTTTTTTTTTTTAAATTGAGCTTTAAATAGGCTGGAGAATGGCTCTCTCATCTGAAAGTTTATTTGTGGGCCTCCTTGGTTACACTCTTTTCTTGGGTTTCTGTTCATCTAGCCTCACACAGTCTGTTAGGAAATAGAAAGAAGGATATTAGAACCATGTATTTAGTCAAAAGCCCTCACGGTACTGAAAACAAACAAACAAAAAAGCCCCCTCCCCCCAAAAAAACCCTGCCGTCCAAAGCAAATGATTTGTACCAGATCACAGGGCTTATCAGCGGTGAGGCTCAAAGGATGAGAGATTCCAGTCCTCTTGCTATTTGTCATCAATGAAAGCCAACTCAAAACAGCTTGAAATTGAGAGGTGACTACTTCATGTTAACCCGTGTCCCTCTGACCCGCCTTTCTCCCAACGCCCTTGCCTATTACAACTCACATGGGCTCTCCACCCTACGCGAGTCTTCTCTGTAACTGAAACAGCCGGGTGTCTGAAGCATTTAACTGTATGTTCACCCGCGAGCTCAGCACGCTGCCCACCTTGCCCTCAGGCATCTGGGGGCATGTCCTCAGGATTTTTCACTCTGTCTGTTCACTGTTTTGCCAAGCCAGCAGGCCGTGGCGGCTGCCCGGGCTGCGCCAGGTGCAGGCGGAGAGTTCTCACTCCAAGGATGAGGTCTGTCTGGAGCGCTGAGAAATTTTCAACCTGAAATGGGCAACAAATGCCAGGAGAATAAGGTCAAGTTCAAGGTTCTATGACAATACTATAGGCAGTCACATGAAGCTTTCTTGGTGTTTGCTGACTTATCGAAAAACCTCAATTGTTGGCCAGTTGGGCTCAGTGGTTAGAGCGTCGGCCTGCAGACCAAAGAATCATGGGTTTGATTCTGGTCAAGGGCATGTACCTCGGTTGTGATTAAATCTCTGGCCCTGGTTGGAGTCGTCTGGGAGGCAATGAATGTGTCTCTCTCACATAATGTTTCTCTCTCTCTCTCTCCTCCCTCCCTCCCTCTCTCCTACTCTATTTGAAAATCAATGGAAAAATATCTGTGGGTGAGGATTAAAAAAACAAACAAAAAACCACCTCAATTGTTGACAATAGAGCCGAGAACACAGCAGAGCCAATCCTGAGCCACAAGAGCGCCCCCTAGAGGCTCCCCTCTCGCTAGAATGAGAAGCATTGGCTTGTGATTTAAGGGAGGGCAAAGGAGACCCCAGACCTGTGGAGGGGCAAACATAGGGGCTATGCAAGTGGCCTCTGCAATCAGATTGCCTGAGCTTGAAGCCTGGCCCTTTCCTCAACGTTCTCATCTGTGTAATGGGCTGAATACAGTAGTTGCCCCATAGGTTTGTTGGGTGGATTACATGAGGCATCCACATCTGGAATTTAGCACTTAATATACACTCAATAAACACCAAACTCTTGTCACTCATTTAGTGATCCCTGCTTAGAGAGATTTGTTTGATAGAATTCTCACAGAATTGGTTCCCTGGGGTCCTCATACAGAGCTACTTAGTATCAGCAAACAAGAAGCTGATGCCCAGTGCCTGGAGAGAGGAGGAATAGGGGCCCGTTGCCTGGAGAGAGGAGGAATAGGGGCCCGTTGCCTGGAGAGAGGAGGAATAGGGGCCGTTGCCTGGAGAGAGGAGGAATAGGGGCCGTTGCCTGGAGAGAGGAGGAATAGGGGCCGTTGCCTGGAGAGGGGAGGAATAGGGGCCGTTGCCTGGAGAGAGGAGGAATAGGGGCCCGTTGCCTGGAGAGAGGAGGAATAGGGCCCGTTGCCTGGAGAGAGGAGGAATAGGGGCCCGTTGCCTGGAGAGAGGAGGAATAGGGGCCCGTTGCCTGGAGAGAGGAGGAATAGGGGCCCGTTGCCTGGAGAGGGGAGGAATAGGGGCCCGTTGCCTGGAGAGGGGAGGAATAGGGTCCCGTTGCCTGGAGAGAGGAGGAATAGGGGCCCGTTGCCTGGAGAGGGGAGGAATAGGGGCCCGTTGCCTGGAGAGGGGAGGAATAGGGGCCGTTGCCTGGAGAGGGGAGGAATAGGGTCCCGTTGCCTGGAGAGAGGAGGAATAGGGGCCCGTTGCCTGGAGAGGGGAGGAATAGGGGCCCGCTGCCTGGAGAGAGGAGGAATAGGGGCCCGTTGCCTGGAGAGGGGAGGAATAGGGGCCGTTGCCTGGAGAGGGGAGGAATAGGGGCCGTTGCCTGGAGAGAGGAGGAATAGGGGCCCGTTGCCTGGAGAGGGGAGGAATAGGGGCCCGTTGCCTGGAGAGGGGAGGAATAGGGGCCGTTGCCTGGAGAGGGGAGGAATAGGGGCCGTTGCCTGGAGAGGGGAGGAATAGGGGCCGTTGCCTGGAGAGAGGAGGAATAGGGGCCCGTTGCCTGGAGAGGGGAGGAATAGGGGCCCGTTGCCTGGAGAGGGGAGGAATAGGGGCCGTTGCCTGGAGAGAGGAGGAATAGGGGCCGTTGCCTGGAGAGAGGAGGAATAGGGGCCCGTTGCCTGGAGAGGGGAGGAATAGGGGCCCGCTGCCTGGAGAGAGGAGGAATAGGGGCCCGTTGCCTGGAGAGGGGAGGAATAGGGGCCGTTGCCTGGAGAGAGGAGGAATAGGGGCCGTTGCCTGGAGAGAGGAGGAATAGGGGCCCGTTGCCTGGAGAGAGGAGGAATAGGAGCCCGTTGCCTGGAGAGGGGAGGAATAGGGGCCCGTTGCCTGGAGAGGGGAGGAATAGGGGCCCAGTGCCTGGAGAGAGGAGGAATAGGGGCCCGTTGCCTGGAGACAGGAGGAATAGGGCCCGTTGCCTGGAGAGGGGAGGAATAGGGGCCGTTGCCTGGAGACAGGAGGAATAGGGCCCGTTGCCTGGAGAGGGGAGGAATAGGGGCCGTTGCCTGGAGAGGGGAGGAATAGGGCCCGTTGCCTGGAGAGGGGAGGAATAGGGGCCGTTGCCTGGAGACAGGAGGAATAGGGCCCGTTGCCTGGAGAGGGGAGGAATAGGGGCCGTTGCCTGGAGAGGGGAGGAATAGGGGCCGTTGCCTGGAGAGGGGAGGAATAGGGGCCCGTTGCCTGGAGAGGGGAGGAATAGGGGCCGTTGCCTGGAGAGGGGAGGAATAGGGTCCCGTTGCCTGGAGAGAGGAGGAATAGGGGCCCGTTGCCTGGAGAGGGGAGGAATAGGGGCCGTTGCCTGGAGAGGGGAGGAATAGGGTCCCGTTGCCTGGAGAGAGGAGGAATAGGGGCCCGTTGCCTGGAGAGGGGAGGAATAGGGGCCCGTTGCCTGGAGAGAGGAGGAATAGGGGCCCGTTGCCTGGAGAGAGGAGCAATAGGGGCCCGTTGCCTGGAGAGGGGAGGAATAGGGGCCCGTTGCCTGGAGAGAGGAGCAATAGGGGCCCGTTGCCTGGAGAGAGGAGGAATAGGGGCCCGTTGCCTGGAGAGGGGAGGAATAGGGGCCGTTGCCTGGAGAGAGGAGGGATAGGGGCCCGTTGCCTGGAGAGAGGAGGAATAGGGGCCGTTGCCTGGAGAGGGGAGGAATAGGGTCCCGTTGCCTGGAGAGAGGAGGAATAGGGGCCGTTGCCTGGAGAGGGGAGGAATAGGGGCCGTTGCCTGGAGAGGGGAGGAATAGGGTCCCGTTGCCTGGAGAGAGGAGGAATAGGGGCCGTTGCCTGGAGAGAGGAGGAAGAGGGGCCCGTTGCCTGGAGACAGGAGGAATAGGGCCCGTTGCCTGGAGAGGGGAGGAGATAGGAGAGCCGGCAAAGCACAGGAGTCGCCGGGCGTTAGAGAACCGCTCCGAAGGCACATATGTCTGTGTTGCTGCCGAGCCCAGTAACTGGTCATCCTGGCAGGATAGTGAACCATGAACAAAATGTCCAAGTTCATCCTATATGTCATTCAAGAGGTAATGATCAAGAACCAGACCCTGCAGTCATGTTGCTGGATTTGAACCCCAGCTTCAATATTTACTATTTGATCTGAACAAGTTACTGAAACTCTCCAGGCCTTAGTTTTCTTACCTGGGAAATGGGGCAACAAACCAAACACACAAACCTACTCGACAGGTTTGTGGTCAAAATCAAGTGATATCCAGACCCATAGATACAGAGAACGAGCCGGTAGTTGTCAAAGGGGTGGAGTAGGGGGTAAAAAAGAGGGAAGAAAAATTCTAGGTGGCCTGTAGTTTTTCAGCAAGGCTCAGAAAAATGATGTTGCCCTGCCAATGTGGCTCAGTGGATTGAACATCGTCCCACGGACTGAGAGGTCCCAGTTTAATTCCTGGTCAGGGCCCAGGCCCAGGCTGTGGGCTCGCTCCCCAATGCGGGGTGTGCAGGAGGCCGCTGATCTATGTATCTCAAGCACATCAATGTTTCTATCTCTCTCTCTAAAAAAATCAATAAAAACATATTTTAAAAAAAAAGAGAAAAATAATGTTAAATTCTCTCGCTTATATTGTACTCTCTATGTGCCGGGAGGGGGGGAGGGGGGATGATGGGATGAGTGTAGAACCTTTTGCAGATACCTCTGTGGGTTATTTAAGCAGTGAAATAGGAAGAATGCTTTAGAAAGAGTTTACGAAATAGGTAGCGAATAAATGAATATGAAATGTCACAGAAAGCAGGTAACAGTTTTGGTTCTTGGCAGAGCCTGTGTTTGCTGGTGAGACACTGTGTGGAGCCCCCAGCTGCTCCTGGACACAGGACATTTCTGTAGGAGACAGGGCTGGTTTCCGGTGGTCCTTGCGGAGCTGTATCTGTCCCTCGGTGGCGTGGCCGAGCACGGACAGCATGCTCACCCCCAGAGGGCAGTGTGGAGCAATGGAGCAGGCTCAGGCGCCCAGACCGCGCTGCCCTCCTGCCGCTGTGTGCTCCTGGCGACATACCTCTCCTCTCTGAGCTCCCTCTTCCACGTCTGGACCCCAGGTCTATCTTAGGACTGGCCAGCGCCCCAGTC